GATCTCCGTGTTACGAGTCCTTGAGCACAGAAGAACAGAGGGTCAGACACTTATGCTTGCACGCGCACAAAGACACGAGCAGGGACAAAACACTCTACTCACGACGACCGACAGACAGACAGAGACCTATAAGGGAGTGGGGGAATGGGTGACAGGTGGGGAGTGTCAGCTCGTGATCTGCGAACCCCCGCTGCGAGATCAGCGCTGATTGCCCAGACCACGAGCTACCGAACATGACAGGACAACACAGACCACAGGGGAAGCCGAGAAGGCACCCTGCACCGTGACAGGCCTAGCAAGATTTATTGCCATTATGTTGGCAGCGATGCCATAGAAGAACCATTTTGGGTTCCTCAAAGAACTTTTCAGTGAACAGCTCTTAAAAGAACCATTTTATTAATCGATCGATGGATTGATTGATTGATTGATTGAACATTTTAATAATCAGGGAACCATTGATTCCAGTAAAAAAAACATTGTTTTTCAGAGTGTATATGTGAACATATAAATTCATACTTTTATTCAGAAACGATCCAGTAAATTTATATTTATTCTATTTATCAAAGCATCCTGAAAAAGAAACAAGCTGTAAAAAATGTTTTTAACAGATAATAGTTAGAAATATTTTTTTGAGCAGCAAATCTGCATATTAGAATGATTTCTAAAGGATCATGTGACACTGAAGACTGGAGTAATGATGCTGAAAATTCAGCTTTGCATCACAGAAGTAAATTACATTTTAAAATATATTAAAGTAAAACTTGGTGAGCAGAACTTGTTTTTTTTTTAATCTACCGACCCCAAAGTTTTTAACAGTATACAAAGAACTGAAGATGAACAGAGATGATTTCAAACAGGACTTGAGACCGAAAGAGCAGTCTGGCTTTGCACACACAATACAGTATTGATTCTGAAGTGTTTCGAACAATGCAATCCAGCACAGCGCTCACATTGTGCTCCATGTGACTGTTACACAGTGCGCACTTACTGACAAAAACTGCTTCATCATGTGTAAGATCAATGGAGAAATTCATTGTTCACTGTTGTTAAGGCCAGTGACATGCACATTTAACAGGTGACTTCACAGGAGACATCTTCATCATTCAAAGCAGAATCTGCAAGCGTAGAATGAAAAGCTCACTTCGATTTAAGCATGCTCCCAAAGCACGTTTGTGAACATGTGTGTGTGTGTGTAGGCTAACTCTCGCTCACCATGGCTACAGCTGTGACACAGGTGAGGTTGTGGAGCCTTGGGGGGCTCATTAAAAGATTTTGAAGGAATTTATTTTACGCTGTAAAGGACAGTGTATTGATAACACACAAAAACTTCACTAATAACATCCCAATCTGGGGGTTTGTAGACAAAAAGCTGAGTACTATTCAAAAGTTTGGACACACTTATTAGCCGGCAAAGATGTGATTAAATCAGTCCAAGTTCAGTATATGAACATATACGCCAATATTCATGTCTGCAAAGTGGTGAAAACATGCACACATTTGTGTAAATAACACAACAGAATGATCTAACAGGCGCAACACAGCTTTGGTGTTTTAGAGTGACATTTTAGAGCATTGAATATGAAGCATATTAGCAGTCCTCTTCACTTTGTATATATGTATATATCACACTTCTGAATCAGTTTTGTCGTTTCTATTTATCTCAAGTAAAAACATATTTTAATAATGCACAATGTTCTTCTCTCTTGAGTTAGTTCCGTTTTTCAAATGTGATTGGCAGAGCAGTGATCCAAAAGTTGCATTTTCACTGTTTGTATCACTCAGTTTGCCTGAGTTTGTAAATTCCGGACCAGTCCCATCATTAAATCCGGTCTATTCCAGACCTGCTATTAGTCTGTTTTTTTGGTGACACACAAAATAACTGGTCAAGGTCAAGGTCATTTTTATTTATATAGAACCTTAAAATGAATGCTGACCAAGGTGCTTCAACGTAAACAATAAAAAGATAACAACTGCATTGTCTTCTGTTGGAACTGCATAAAATATGCATAAAGCAATCAACCTTTTGTGGACTTTTGAGTGATACTGTTTAAATAAATGAGGACTGTGATTTTATAGAGGACTCTGAGTCCCGCATAATCTATTTAGTCAAGCACACATGCATGGACTATATTATTAGGCTCAACATAAGCTGCCTTTGCTCGCAGTCCTCATCCTGTCATCTGAGCTATTCAGCACACACACATACTGATCACAGAGTCAGAATTTCTGCACTTTCTGTGCAGGACATAATTAAATGTTCTCAGATAAAACCGTTAAAGCAATCTCCTTCATGGCCACCCTGCACAAAGCAACAATAACTTAGTTACCTGCATTCAATTTCTGATTCTGAAGCGTTTTCGCCGCCTCTGGTGTCCTCACACGTTTTCCACTGATTTCACTGAGAAATCTTCCTAGCCTTAGATTACTTTACTCAGTTTAATATCAGCCCACAGCAGAGTATGAGTTGATTGAGTGAATGGCGCATTATAGCGATTAATCAGAGTAATTTGGCGCGAGTTAAGCTGCTTTACATCCCTCACATAAGCAGAACGACAGGCCTCCACAAGGACACATGCAGATATACAGGCATACATACTGTTTATATATAGTAAGTATTCTGTTATTATATACACACATTACAGACTACTACTGTTTTGCATATTACATATTTATCTTTAGATTTAACTTGAATTGGGGCGACTGCCACTAACTGTGTGCTACACAGTCACAGAAACTATATCTCATTTAGCTTTTGAGAGAGAGAGAGAGAGAGAGAGAGAGAGAGAGAGAGAGAGAGAGAGAGAGAGAGACATCCACAATGTTAGCTGTTAAACATGATTAACTCGATACTGACTTACTTTACCTTTTCATTTATTTAGATGGATTGTATTTATTATTATTTATGTTGTTGTTATATATATGTTAATGCTTTGGCAACATTGTGTTACACAGTCATGCTAATAAAGCTTAATTTAATTTAATTTAATTTAATTGAGAAAGAGAGAGAGAGAGAGAGAGAGAGAGAGAGAGAGAACTCTAAGAAACATTAACCGTTGTGAAAGTGTGGGCTTTATATTTAACAGGTAGATTTTTATATAAATCCTCATTTGTAAGTCGCTTTGGATAAAAGCATCTGCTAAAAGACTAAATGTACATGTAAATGTAAAATGGACCACAGTTACCTGTAAATGAGTTATTAAATGATTAATATTTAGCAAAGAAAAAATTAACTTTCAAAGCACTCTTATTTAGAACATTTGATTAAATGTTCATTTTCAATTATTTTGAACTTTCAACTGCCAAACAGATTTTCTTAGTATTTTTGTCTTGTTTTCTGTAAATATCTAAGCATGTTTGTGTCAAGATAGATTCCAAAAATCATCAGAATCGTATTAGCTTTTGCTTAAAAAAAGAAAAAGAAAAAAACATATCTGCTAATGGGCTAGAATAATAATTGTGTTTTCCCATTGGTAGATATTGTTTTTTGTTTTAAGCAAAAAAAAACAATACAATTTTGACTTTATTTATTTTTCATTCATTCAGAAAACAAGACTTAATATCTTAAGTAATTTCACTTCTCAAGTAAATGTCGTTATTCAAGAATGTTTAGATATTTATACCACAAGCAAAGACAGAAATACTAAGAAGCGCGGGAGGCTAACACCACTTAGCACACATTTACCTCATTATTGTCTTTATTATTCATTTTATTTTAGTCACCAGTTAGGTTGCTTTCTCTCTAGTTGCCTGTTTTTATTGTATCATCCACAAATTCAGGACTGGGGGACCAAATGTAATACGCATCCCAAATCCAAAATACTCACTCGCTCTTTTTAAAGGGGTCATATGATGCTGCTAAAAAGAACATTATTTGGTGTATTTGGTGTAATGAAATGTGTTTATGCGGTTTAAAGTAAAAAAAAACACATTATTTTCCACATACTGTACATTATTGTTTCTCCTCTATGCCCCGCCTTTCTGAAACGCGTCGATTTTTACAAAGCTCATCGGTCTGAAAAAGCGAGGTGTGCTCTGATTGGCCAGCTATCCAATGCGTTGTGATTGGCCGAATTCCTCAAGCGTGAGACGGAAATGTTACGCCCCTCACATACTGTTGTATTCCCTCAGCGACCAGCACGGATCAGCTCTAGGCATGACGAAGCGATATCGTCCTCTTTTGGAAGACCAAACAAAGTAGTTTCGCTTTCACAAAGAAACACACAGCTCTTCACGACACGGCGGCAGCGGCAACAAAACTACAGCGAGAATAAAAGTTACACCTGTCTTTGCGTGAACATTTGGACGGCGTTATGCAAATCTTCCCACACAGTGACATAGACATGTGGGGGCGTGTTAGAACGAGCCGTTTTAGGTAGGCGTGGTTGACTCTTAACTTTTATAAAGAATATCTCTTTGGATTTGAGACTTTAGTCTTTGCAACTTTACAGATCTTCTTTATGCACCAAGAGCTTGTAACCCTCCAAAGAGAAAGGAAACATTGAAATCGCATCGCCACCCCTGGCCACCACGTCCCTGTCAACAACATAAGTGTTTCCATATGGTGACCAATGAATGAATAGTTTTCTCTTAAGAAGGCCTACTAAATATTTCATTAAAGGAAAATGTATTTTCCTGACTTTTCCATTACCTACTTCTCTATGCCTGGAACAAGTGTATATATGTCCAGGTTCTTCTTGACTGCGGGAACTACTGTGTCTGTTCCTCATGTCCTGCGTCTCTAAGCACCTCCTCATGCAAGAAGAAATCTGTACGGAGACAGAATGTACCAACCTCAGCGGTCCATCGCTTTCTTCTCTGATTGGTCGGTTAGCGCAGCGGACTGATACATCGCTGTCTCATTCCGTTCTCTGGTTTGTTGAGTTTTGCGGTGGGCGTGTGCAGCGCTCCCTCAGTCTGTTCTCTGATTGGTCGATAATACGGTGGGCGGGGACAGCGCTGTCATTACAGACATCCACAACCAGCGGAGAGACAACAGGGCAACAGCAGTCTGTCTGTCAGACGCATCCGCGCGAGGTGCACAAGAATCAATATTAGTACATCAAGACTTATAGAAAATAACAGAGAGGAAAAACATTGCTCCTGATGTTCTAGTTATTAACACTGACCACAACGGAATGACAGCGGGGGTTTGCGCATCATTTGTTCCCTAAAAGGTAGGAAACATTGTATTTAACACAGCTTTATAAAGCTTTATAATATAAATATTGATACGCAATGTCATTTTCATTTGCCATTGCATATCCAGTCAGAACCGAGAGCTGCTATTTTAAAATTAACATTTGCATAGGCTACTGTTTAGATAGCCTAATGCAAATGCCTTGCTTCCATAATACCTTTCTTTACTTCTAAGGTTTATATATTCATTATATTTATTATATGTGTTATGATAACACCTTGCTTTGTTTATTTGGCGCAGTGTATGTAAACAGACAACAGCATCCATTTTTTCAGTCTTTTTCTTATTATTGACATAAAGGTCTCAATGCAACTGAGCCCATCACTGTGTAATCTGCATATGAAGCAATCCACTGAAGAACAATAGACTGCCAAAACACATCTTGAGCTGCTGTTAGGCGGGTATGACCCAGACTGAAGGCATGACATTCAAGCAGGTTGTCATGTATAGATGTCAGTTGCACCTCAAAGATGTTTGTTTGTGTTTTATTTTGCACACATGGACACCCACATGCACGCTCACACAAACCCAAAGGGCTGAAGTGTACATTCGGTGCACTCATTGAACTGAATGTCTTCACACTGCTTTCATGACAGGTATTGTCTGGACAGGATTTTGCAGGAGAGATGACAGCATGTTTATATGCAATCTTCATGAGTAACACTCTGATGAGTTATACCAGGACGGATGTAATGCCAAAATATATGTGACATATGTGACATGCAATTTTACATTTAGCTTTTGAGATTTGACATTGACACAATACACAATAAATACACAATACACAATATATATATATATATATAAGTGTAAATAAAAAATACTAATAAAGTATTTTTAAAAAGAGGTTTTCGGCTGATGCCGATAAGCTCAGCATGCCCAAAATACTCACATTTAATGACACGAGTCTCTCACTAGGTGTGAGTATTCAGACACACACAGCTCTGTCCTTTGTCTAAATGGGCGTTATTTGAATTCCAACATCTGATATCCAAAATTTCAGCAATCTTTTGGCATAGATCAGGAGTCTAGTCATGTATATATATTTCATAAAACACTGAAAATGGCATTGCAATATTTTGGTCAAGCAATCTTGATCAGGCATGCTGCGATGTTTGAAATAAGTATATGTATCTGACCTATAATTCAAGCTAGAAAAGACCTTCCATAGCATTTGCACAGAGCCATGCAAATATGTGCAGACAGTACCATTTGTAAACCAGTTTGCTTCCACTATCTCACGTATTTGCGAATGAAATAATATAGCACAGTCAAACGACAAATGATGATAAGTATTTGTTTAATAAGAAATAAAAAGTCTTTGAATTAGTATATACCAGGAACTGAATGGATTGTTAAAAGGGGGTGTTACATATCAGAATGGAGGCAGGTGGCTGGAGCGGCTGGTCGGGGGTTGAAAAAGTAAGGGGCTGTTCACACAGAATGCGTTTTTTTATTCCAGCGTGCGACATTTCCATTGTTTTTCAATGTAAACACATTTGCACAGAGCCATGCAAATATGTGCAGACAGTACCATTTGTAAACCAGTTTGCTTCCACTATCTAACGTATTTGCGAATGAAATAATATAGCACAGTCAAACGACAAATGATGATAAGTATTTGTTTAATAAGAAATAAAAAGTCTTTGAATTAGTATATACCAGGAACTGAATGGATTGTTAAAAGGGGGTGTTACATATCAGAATGGAGGCAGGTGGCTGGGCTGTTCACACAGAATGCGGTTTTTTATTCCAGTGTGCTACGTTTCCATTGTTTTTCGATGTAAACACGCACTAGATGGATGTGTATGAGCGTTGCGCTCACATCTTGCATCTTTTGCAGCATCTCACAGATGAGCTTAACATTTTTAAGAAGCTGTGTCAAGTTAAAAGAATTTCAACTTTTACACGCAATACCACTCATCAATGTCATTTCCAAAACAGGCGTCTCACGTTTTAAGACACAAACTGCATCCCAAATGACACACTATACACTATACACTATGCACTTATACACATGTACTACTCAGCCATGTAGTGTATGAATTTTATAAGGTTATTTTGTCATTAATAAGCAGTGTCTGTTAGCCCTCCTGCATTCGCAATGTAATTAAAGCTGCGACAGTTGAGTGCATGAAGTGTCCAACATTCCACACTTCATTTTTTCGGTTATTTAAGTGCATCATCCGGGTATTTAAAGTGCAATTTTTTATTTTTTTAATTTTCAGTGCGTGCACACTACTCACACTATTTATACTATTAAACGTCATTGAATAGTACATAAGTGCGCGATTTGCGATGCACAGACGTGTTTTGTGTGAACGGCCCCTAAAGCCCCGTTCACACCAAGAACGATAACTATAAAGATAACGATATTAGCGTCCACACCAGCGAACAATATCATCTGTTAATTCTAAGCGCATGCACATCTGCCGCTTTAAATTCTTTAGCTCGTTACAGCAGGATGGATTCTGATTGGCTGTCAGTTTTTTATCGTTCATCAGCTGGATAAAAATAGTTTTGAAAGTGATTCCAACGATATCGTTTCTCTTTGTCTTTATCGTTATAGTTGTGGTGTGGACTCTGCTATTCTTTAATATTGAGAACGATTTTTAGAACTATATCTTTATCGTTATCTTTATAGTTATCGTCCTTGGTGTGAACGGGCCTTAAGAAGGCATTTGTGACGTCAGCAAAAAGAAAAGGTAAAAGATATCTTAAATAAAACCAGGAACATGCTTAAAAAGTAAATATGGTCAATTTTGATTCCATGCTGACTTTAAGTTTGTGACCTGCCTGTGTCGACCTCACCAGCGGGGAGCATTGTACTTGCTGTGAAAGCAGCAGAGAGGACTATAGGACCAAGCCTCGAGCCGATCTGTCTCCAAGCGTGAACATAAAATGCAGAGACTTGCT